TCTACAAAGTTTTAAAATTGTGCATAAGTAACTGAAATATAATAATATATAAAATATGTGCAATTTGCCAAAAAAAACTAACTGAATCCAACCCCAACCAACTCAACCCATATCTCACACGCTATTCGAGGTTCGGCGAGACCTGTAACCAGGCTGGGTTACGCATCTCCAATGGGTTGCGAAACCCAGATACCACGTCCTAACCCTATGCACCGTGAGGAAATTGAACAACCCCCTTGGGCATCAAAAGGGGCCATGCGATTGGTCGAAGCCAAACAACAACAATCGCAAACCCAACCCACAGCCTGCTCCCTCGACGGCAAAAACGACTAAGGGAAAGATGGTAGCAGATCTCGAATTCGGGATCTGTAATTTTCTCGACTTGCCCTCGTTTCCTCCTAGATCCATGCTCATGCGTAGCCATGCTAGAGAGTTGGTAGCGACTTATAAGATGGGATCGAGGCGACACCGTTGTCAGGCTAGTGAACGCGGATATCAATTGAGGTTCTTGGCGCGCGTAGCCTAGCCTGGACGAAATCACCAGCGCCTGAAAACAAGGGCAGGAAACAAATGACGAATCCCCCGCTGCTAACGGCCCACCGTTGCGGGCCGCTATAGCTTCCCGCCGCCTTCGATCTCCTCGTACGAAAATGCCACCCGCGGCTTCCCACATCGTGCTATCCCTGTCCTCGCGCTTCCTTGCTTCCCAAATCCCCGCTTCCCGCTTTCGAAAGCACGTCCGCATCTCACCTTCACGTGCTGCAGCATCTCGCTGTCCCTCGCTTCCTTCCACCCGCTTTCACCCGCGTCCCGCTATCGCTTGCTCCCCGAATCCCGCTTTCCCATGCTCCTCGCATTACCTTGCTCCCCGCATTCCAATGCTCCTCGCATTCCCATGCTTCCCTCATTCCCATTTTCCCGGCATTCCCATGTTCCCCGCATTCCCATGTTCCCCGCATTCCCTTGCTCCCCGCATCTCGCTTTCCCATGCTCCCCGCATTCCCTTGCTCCCCGCATCCCGCTTTCCCATGCTCCCCGCATTCCCATGTTCCCTGCATTCCCTGCTCCCCGCATCCTGCTTTCCCATCCTCCCCGCATTCCCATGTTCCCCGCATTCCCTTGCTTGCTCCCCGCATCCCGCTTTCCCATGCTCGCTGCATTCCCTTGCTCCCCGCATTTCCTTGCTCCCCACATCCCGCATTCCCATGCTCCCCGCATTTCCTTGCTCCTTGCATCCCGCATTCCCATGTTCCCCGCATTCCCTTGCTCCCCGCACCCCGCTTTCCCATGCTCCCCGCATTCCCATGTTCCCCGCATTCCTTGCTCCCCGCACCCCGCTTTCCCATCCTCCCCGCATTCCCATGTTCCCCGCATTCCCTTGCTCCCCGCATCCCGCTTTCCCATGCTCTCTGCATTCCCTTGCTCCCCGTATTTCCTTGCTCCCCACATCCCGCATTCCCATGCTTCCCTCATTTCCTTGCTCCTTGCATCCCACATTCCCATGCTCCCCGCATTCCCGTGTTCCCCGCATTCCCTTGCTCCCCGCACCCCGCTTTCCCATCCTCCCCGAATTCCCATGTTCCCCGCATTCCCTTGCTCCCCGCATCCCGCTTTCCCATGCTCTCCGCATTCCCATGCTCCCCGCATTTCCTTGCTCCCCGCATCCCGCATTCCCATGCTCCCCGCATTCCCGTGTTCCCCGCATTCCCTTGCTCCCCGCACCCCGCTTTCCCATCCTCCCCGCATTCCCATGTTCCCCGCATTCCCTTGCTTGCTCCCCGCATCCCGCTTTCCCATGCTCTCTGCATTCCCTTGCTCCCCGCATTTCCTTGCTCCCCACATCCCGCATTCCCATGCTCCCCGCATTTCCTTGCTCCTCGCATCCCGCATTCCCATGCTCCCCACATTCCCGTGTTCCCCGCATTCCCTTGCTCCCCGCATCCCGCTTTCCCATGCTCTCCGCATTCCCTTGCTCCCCGCACCCCGCTTTCCCATCCTCCCCACATTCCCATGTTCCCCGCATTCCCTTGCTTGCTCCCCGCATCCTGCTTTCCCATGCTCTCTGCATTCCCTTGCTCCCCGCATTTCCTTGCTCCCCACATCCCGCATTTCCTTGCTCCCCACATCCCGCATTCCCATGCTCCCCGCATTTCCTTGCTCCTCGCATCCCGCATTCCCATGCTCCCCGCATTCCCGTGTTCCCCGCATTCCCTTGCTCCCCGCACCCCGCTTTCCCATGCTCCCCGCATTCCCATGTTCCCCGCATTCCTTGCTCCTTGCACCCTGCTTTCCCATCCTCCCCGCATACCCATGTTCCCCGCATTCCCTTGCTCCCCGCATCCCGCTTTCCCATGCTCTCCGCATTCCCTTGCTCCCCGCTTTCCCATGCTCTCCGCATCCCCTTGCTCTCCGCATCCCCTTGCTCCCCGCATTTCTTTGCTCCCCACATCCCCCATTCCCATGTTCCCCGCATTCCCTTGCTCCCCGCACCATGCTTTCCCATCCTCCCCGCATTCCCTTGCTCCCTGCACCCCGCTTGCCCATGCTCCCCGCATTCCCATGCTCCCCGCATTCCCATGCTCCCCGCATTCTCATGCTCCCCGCATTCCTTGCTCCCCGCATCCCGCTTTCCCTTGTTCCCCGCATTCCCATGCTCACCGCTGTCCCATGCCCCCGCTTTCCCATGCTCCCCTCATTCCATGCTCCCCACATTCCCATGCTCCCCGTGCTCCCCGCATTCACATGCTTCGCGCATTCCCATGCTTCCCACATTCCCTTGCGACCCGCACCCCGCTTGCCCTCGCTAATCCGCTGCTGCCTCTCTCCCCTGTTTCCCGCCACCCGCTTCCCCTAGCTTCCGGCATGCCGCTTTCCCCCGCTTCCTGTTTCTGCCATTCCCCCCTTTTCACATCCCGCTTTCCCCCGGTAGCGACTAGCGCTTCCCGCTTCACCTCGCGGACCGCTTCCCGCTTTCCCTTGCGGGTCGCTTCCCACTTTCCCACGTTGTAACGTGTTACCCGCTTTTTCGCGCGCCGCAATCCCCTGCCTTCTCATTGAATGAAAACAGATAAAGGTTCAAGGCGCAGCAGCAGGGAAGAAAGCGAGGCCGCAGGGATGGGGAAGACAACAGATAGTAGCAAGCGGGAGAGGCGAGAGGGGAGGGAGAGGGGCACGAGAGCAGTGGAGGGGGGAAGGCGTGAGAGCAGGGAGGGAGTGAGGCATGAGAGCAAGGAGGGAGTGAGGCACGAGAGCAGGGAGGGAGTGAGGCATGAGAGCAGGGAGAGAGTGAGGCATGAGAGCAGGCGTGAGTGCAGGGGAGGGGGAGAGGCGTAAGAGTAGGGGAGGGGGAGAGATGGGAGAGCATTGAGGTATGAGGTGCGTGATAGGGGGGGATGTGGGAAGGCGCAAGAGCCATGGAGGGAGCGAGAGGTGAGAGAAGGGAAGGGAAAGAGGGGTACGAGTAGGGGAGTGGGGAAAGGGAGAGTGCAGCCTGGAGGAGATGGGGAGGGGAAGAGGCGTGAGGGCGGGGGAGGAAGAGGCGTGAGGGGCATGGGAGGGGGAGAGGGTGTTAGGGTAGGGGAGGGGGAGTGGCGTGAGTGCAGGAGAGTGGGGAAAGATGGATTGCAGTGAGGGTAGGGGGGTAGGAGTGAGAGCAGAGGAGTGGGAGAGGCGTGAGGGCGTGAGAGGCAGGGACAGCTGGAGGAGATGGGGAGGGAAAGGAGCATGAGGAGAGGGGAGGCAGATACGCATGAGGGCAGGGGAGAGGGAGATGCATGAGGGCAGGGGAGGGGGAGAGGCATGAGGACAGAGGAGGGGGAGTGGCATGAAGCAGGGGAGGGGGAGAGGGCAGTAAGTGTGAGCGGGATCCCGGCAGGACAGGCAGTAAACACTCTATAACTAACCCCTCTCAACCCCCCGCCCCCCCACTAACGTATGCCCCCATCTCTTTCTCCCCCCCCCCCCCCCCCTCCCCCCCCTCCCCTCCTCCCCGCTCTCTCGCAGCCTACCGGGTGGCACATGATTGCCAGTCAAGCTCACCTTGGACAACCTCTCCGTTAAAAGCCAGACTTCACCCCAAACCTATCCACTCACTCCCCTGTGCATCTCTCAACAAACCACATTCTGTGGGTGATCTCCGTGCGGCCACGCATTCAGACATTCAGCCGTTATTGGCAAATGCTAACCATGTCTCTTCTCTAGCATCATCTACGACGGCTGCAGAAAATGGAAATTATGTAACCCTACATATGTGAACGACACCTTGTAACTGAGTTGGTCCAGGGTTGTAAAGCCAACTTGAATTTTGAGGTCCCTCAAGTTTGTTACATTCTTCCTGCCACATATATATGCGACCTTTTCAGGTTATGAACGGCTTGTCGGTCGTTCTGTAAGAGTACATGAACTTGGCACCAATTTTGGCAACAAGAGTAGCTTTTTATCTTTAGCATAAAGTCATATTAGTCTAGATACATTCAGAAAGTCAAGTTCCCATGGAAAGCGATTTAATCTACTAAACAAATCCAAGACACACACTGAGATATATCGAAAACGTCTTAGCATATATAGTAACAAGTGTTGGCTACAACACCTCCATCCAACCACCAAGAAGGGCGTAGTCCAACGGAATCGGTGCAAAACACGGCTTTATGAAATTTGTGAATACCAAACTGAACCGAATTGAATCGCAAATTACAGCGTGCTATAGAGCGCGCGGATTTTGGGATCCAAAATTTCAGGTCCTATTTGCTTGATATTCGGGTCTGTAGAAACACGCCCCTATTCACAAAATGACGTGCTGACCAATCACACACCCTTTGCCCCCACCCTTCACCTGCAACCGAACCCAACAAAATTTATTCATCCAACTCAGCCCCTGCACCTCGTCCAACCAATCAAAATCTGCCAAGTGGTTCCAGAGCGGCTAATCCAGCTCAACCACCTGCTCGCCCCAACCACCCAGCCCACCACGCTGCACCCCACATGCCAGCACTCCAGCCCACCACACACTTCTGATCCCTTCCTTACTTGCCCCCTTGTGCCCTCTCATGCCTTCCAGCTAGACGTTACTTACAATAATAGCCCTCGGCAGTTCTATCTGCATCAGTTTCAGCTCCCATTCTCGCCTTCGCGCCCCCTAGTGAGCAGCTCCTTCCTCTCCCACAGGCTTCGATTACCATGGTCGTTCTTAGTGCGCCCTATGCTGAGGATCTCGTTTCACGATGGTCTATCGTTTCAAGCAGCTCGTAGGTGACTAGTCTTGTTCACCCATGTCATTCTTATCTGCATGTTCATGAGCTAATGCGCCATTGGGGGGGCGGGAGAGTAAGGAGGGGCGAGGGGGAGGAGGCGGCACGCAGAAGCGGTATCTTCGGGAGGCGGGGCGCCTGGCGGAGTACCTAGATGCGCGCATGGAGGCGGCCACCAAGTGCGCGGACGCCAGCAGATGCGAGCACGGTGGTGAAACATCTCTTCCCTTGTTTCGCTTCTCGCCACTGTCCTTTTCCTCTCTCCTGTACTCGTTCCGTCTATGCCCGTCTCGATCCCCCTTTCGTGCCCTCTCTCCCTTTTCGCTCGTCCCAGCTGCTCTTTCTCCCCCTCGCCCCTGGAGCTGTGCTTGCCATGTGTGTGCTTGCCACGTGTGTGCTTGGCGCAGCAGTGGTGCGGCGTGACTCGTGCAGAGAGGCATGGCTAGTAGTGTGTGTGGGAAGGTGGAGGGGGCAGAGCGGAATGGAGAGCATCCGCTCTCGTGCACTCCCCTTCTCACGCGCATGCCCCATCCATCCGTCCATCGTGTGTGCGCTGCAGGTTGGGCACAGCAGCAGCAGGCCCGAGGAGCAGTGAAGGGGGGCATGCTGGCGCCATGGGTGGTGCGCTGCCAGACGACGTGAGCGCCATGGCGTATGCGCACGACCTGCCACCCAAGGTGCATACATGTGCCTTGCTATATGCATGGCGGTGTGAAGCCATCCCTGGCAGCCCATCCGTGTGCCCTCTGTTCTGCCTGTTGCGTGCCCATGCCACCCCCTTTTGGCTCTTGCACGCCACGCCTCTCCATGCGACCTACCACTCTCCTTGCCTTTACTCACCTCTTTCTTTCACATGGCTGCATGGAATCACATGGCTGCATGGCATTGCATGGGCGCATGGCACATGGGTGCATGGCATCACATGGGTGCATGGCATCACATGGGTGCATGGCATCACATGGGTGCATGGCATCACATGGGTGCATGGCGTGGGTGCATGGCATCAGGTGCATCTGTGGCAGCACCACGAGTCTCTCTCCTCGCGCCATCTCTCCTCCTCCCTCGCCTCCCTGCACCGTTACTTCGACTACAGGTGAACAGTCATGGCCAGGCGGAGAGGGGGGGGTCATACAGGTGCCACGGATGGGTTGCTGGAGTAGAGAGGCCCATGAGAGGGCATTCGCAGGCATGTGCGAGTGTGGGGGGCAGTGGGAAGGGCCTGCTGCATGACAGGGCAAGGAAGTGTGGGGGAGAGTGTGGCGTTCGCACGTTGATACGTGTGATCGTGTGAGTGTGCTGTGCACGCGTGGCCCTCATGGTGAGGCAGCCACGAGGAGTGCAGCCACCACGAGGAGTGCAGCCGCCACAAGGAGTGCAGCCTCCATTCTGTTCTTCCATGTCTTGTGCGCTCTTCCCCGACTCTTGCGCACACCGTCACTCCACCCTCCCGCTTCCGCCCCCTGCCACCCCCTCCTCTCTCCAAGCAGTGCGGGCGTGACAGCGGTGGGTAGTCGCCCGGCGTCGGAGTGGTGTGCGGGGCGATTCCAGGCGGGGCTGCTGGTGGAGGGTGCCATGCACGCACGATACGGGCACACACAGCACGCCATGGGGGTATGAAGGCCTTTGTTACTTGACGTATCAATCAAACTAATGATTCGCATGTGTCCTCACGATGCTTGTCTTTATCGCAGCTAGCTATGTAACTCTGTCCAACATCGAGATAATTCCCCATGTAAGTCCAATTGTAAGTCTCGCTGGTCATTTGATCGTCGGACTAATTTCACAACAATGTCTCGTATGACGTGCAGAAATTTGTAGCCTACCACGTGCTATTTCCTCCGGTAAGCTGGCTCTTGTAATTGCTGTCGTATGGAATATAACTAATTTGATTACAATGTTTGAACCTAATGTGCACGACTCAATATCCAGCGTCGCGCTACTACGTTGTTGTAAGCATTGTCCTTATTGTTGGTGATTTCGACCTTGGATTAATTTCGAGATAACAAGTTCTGAACGTAACGTGCAGGAATTCCAATCCAGTTTCAAGAATTGCTGCTCCTGGTGTGCCGCCGCTCAGTTTCTCTTTGTGTTAGTGCGGGACCCACATAGGGGTGCTGGTAGGCAAGGGCGGTTGGGCCATAGTGGTTGTGTACTGTAGTGTAGATGTTTTTTTTAATATATCAAATAATTTGCTTGTTGCATTTTAAGTAAATCCAAACGAGGCATGCCCTAATTGTACTGAACCATGCCCAAAAGGGTACTGCAGCCTGCAAAAACGGATCCATGAAAAACACCGCCAAACGTTTGCAACAAATCATGCTGAATACTAAAAATGGTGAGCATAAACTTCTCTATGCATTTACATGTTTACTGCAAAAGTTGTAGAAAGAACGCCGCCATGCATTTGTAAACGAACCACGGAGATTACCGAAAAGACACCTCTAAGCATTCGCTGTCGTGAACCAAAAAGTGTTTCGGGAAATGTTGTCAAAGCATTCGCCAAGTGTTCTAATCTAAGTCCGCCATGAATTTTCACCCACATGTTCGCAAAACGTTTGCAAAGCATTTGCGCGAATGCTACGCAATCGTTTTGCGAGCATACATTTTTTGCGATGCAAGCATCAGCGTAACTTCGACGATGCAGGAGAACGTCAAGCAACACGAGGTGTCAACAAATGAGGGAGATGCGGACTACTACAACATGATCACGCGCTCTACCGACCGTACATCGGAGGCACGGATGAGCATACCAGGAATTGCTACCCGTGGATACATCGAGGGGAGAAGCAAATTTCTCTTCACACCCTCAAATGAAACAATCACCGGCAGCAATGGAACAACACATGTGTACTAATGTGCACGTGTTCCTGGTAGTTACGCCTGTTACACCCATCAGGAACACTCTACTGGGAAGAGGGAGTTGATGGATTCTCCTTCAACTAGTACGAGTTGAGAGAATTCTCTGTAGCAGCTGCCGCCGTCGCCGTTGTCGCAACCGTCGCCGCCGCCACAGCAGAAGACTCGACAAAACAGTCACAACCAAACCCTGATGGATGATTCTCCGCTCAATGGAGATAATGCTGGATTATATTCCAGTGGATCGTTAAGACCTGGCCAGGCACAGTCCTATGATTTCCAGCTAGTGGGAAGGAGATACCACTATGCGAGGGAACATCATGGCAATGCCATATACCCTCAAGAGCAGAAGATATTTGCTCTTATGAGGATGGGAGGACTACGGTACTCTACCGGTATACAAGTCCTCATGGCCTATGGCTTTCCTTAAAGTCATAAAACCTGCGTCACAACCAATCCATCACCAGCACCAACTCCACGAAAGCAGATAGGCGTGAAATGGAGCGCCGACGCCACTCCGGATAGTGGACTCCGCGTATCTCCAACAACACCCCTGTTTGCCGAAATGGAGCAGACTTCAACATTAATGCTGAGTAGCTGAGACATCTTCGACATCATCGCTACTTCAAGGACAGCAACAGAAGGAGACAACACATGATGACAGCAGAAGACCTATCCCAATATGTGCGCCAGACACCGATGCCTACCGATGGCCTCTGTGCTAAACTGGACGTGCATAAGGTCATACTGGATTGGCTGTCAGCAATGCTCATTTGGAAACAGAAAAGGATTACTTGGGAATACCCATAACATTCCCAGATGTCCTAACCCATCACCGTGGGATATCTACGCAGCAGAGATTCCTTGCTTGAGCAACCACCGAGGGAAACTACTTTGGCGCCGATTCTGGAAGTTACCAGCTCCGCGTTTATGGTACCAACCCCTCGCATGGTTCTGAACACAAGGGATACGCTGAGCAGCACTTCACATGCGCTGTTGTACTCAAGGCAGTATGAGTAGCAGACCGCGTGGTGGACAGGGTTACTACTAGTGATTCTGCCCTCCATTCCCGCAGCACTACGATGCCGAGTGGGTATGACTCACGACAACACTACGGCATGGATCAACATTCGACAGAAGCTGCATATAACGGATACAACACTGCTACAGAAGCAGTACTACGACACGAGTGCCATACCACCAACACTTGGTGATCTTCACACGTGGACAAGATGCGGGTAACAGCATGCACGGATTGGACAATATAGCCACTCAACTGCACGTTATAGCACACTGTTCCAACCATTCACATCTCCAACTCCGACTTGCATCTGCTCGTCCTGGAGTTTGCCTATAAGTATGCTCCTGACGCCGCTACTGGACAGACGCTGTACTTCGTCTGTTACGGACGCCACCCGATCACACCACAACAGCTAACCATACCAGCACAGTCCAACTGGCTTCCGATTTCATCGCCATCATCCACCATCTTGTACATCGACCACACAAGCACCTCTTGGACATCCAACAGCAGCAGAAGCATTTGGCTACTCATCACTACCCTTCTCGAGACCATAATCTCGACATCAGCCATCTTCCATCCAAGCTTCAACCTTGCTTCTGCGGGTCTATCATCTTTGCAGCGAAGGCCACTTCATTCAACTTCCGCTTCCGCCTACCAGCCACTTGGAAGATCCATAACACCTTCCATATCAGCTTCTTAAACCCTATCATGACCAAACACGCTCTACACCGAATGCCAACCACCGTCGTCGCCCGTGTTCATCCACGACATGGGACAACTACGTGCTTGGACACCGTCGTCGTCAGAATGGCACTCTGGGGCTTCTTCTTTGCTGGAAGGGTTCTGATCCTTCTAAGGCTCTGTCTCTTAATCCGACATGGGTAACGCCCGTCGTCCTCTTCGCGACTACCTTGTCAAGCAGGGTGTTACGTCTACCACCCAGCTTTGAGGGGGGGAAGTGTGAGAGTACGACACCGTTATACCAATTTCCCCTTTCCATATTTCCTTTCTATTTCATTCCTCTTTTTATCCTCATTCGTTCGGTCTTTATCTCATCTCATTTGGTTTCCTATTCCTCCTTTTCCATCATCCTTTGGTTTATCCTGTTATTATAATTATATCACCGACCAGGCTCGGGATGTACTGGCGCGCTATATCTAGCGTAATCCTGCCGTAATCCCTTAAAGCCAATAGCCTCGCGTGGCTATACGCATGGTGATTCTATTTCTAGAAGGGTCTATTCCCTTTGGATAGGATAAGCCTGGTTACCTGATGTACCCTGGAAGTATAAAAGCACCTTGTACTGATTGATAGTGCAACATTGAGCAAACCTTTCCTCGGGACATTCGATCCTCTGACAATTACAAGGCCCTTCATACCCTTTTCACTAGAGATGCTAGCTCTGTTGTGTGATGTCAGCATATGCTATCACATTCTGTCAGCCTCCCATCCCATGTTTTCGATCTTGCATGTGTGATTTGAATGTGTGCAAGAATTTACATGTGCTGTGTTCTGGAGTTTGTGAATGTGTTTGGTGTGATTATGTTTGAGCAGGTATTTACGATGATATCTCTTGAGAAGATCTTTTCGACGGATCAAGAATCGTTTCAATCGGAGCAAGAACAAGAAAGTACAGTATGAACTTCTGAGCAGTGCGGCAGTTACGGTGTGGGGTGACTCAATATGGAATATGGACCATCTGGGGGTTGGGGAATTTGTTGTTAGAAACAGAAATGTTGAGTTTATTGATCAAGCAAAGGCATTACATAGGAAGAGAGAGATGAGCTAGGAAGGGAAGGTTGGAAGGGAAGGGGGGGTTAGGACCAATCACAAGGGAGAGAGGATCCTTCCAAATGTGGTTGACCACAAGTGGGAGGTGGTTCAAGTATGGTGGACCACAAGTGGCTTAGGCAACCCACTTGTGGTGCCCCCATAATTGTGGTCCTTGTGTTTGGGGGCTCCAACCACAATTGGGTTGGATTGACACCCCAACACAGGTGTACACCCAACTAGGGATGTAAACACAATATACACAACTAGCATAGCATGGTATATTCTAACACAACCCCATAGCATGCAAAGCTAGTGTATATATAATGGACAACCCCAGAATCCGGAAGGGGGGCCGGGCCCAAGGCCGAGAAGGCAGAGAAGGGCAGAGTGCGCGGTCTTCGGGAGGGCCTTGGTGAAGATGTCGGCCAAGTTGGCCTCTGCAGCGATCTTGCGGACCACCAAGTAACCTCGCTGGACCAACTCCCGAACGAAGAAGTAGCGGAGTGCAATGTGCTTGGAGCGGCCATGAAAGACAGGGTCCTTTGTGAAATGGATGGTGCTGGCGTTGTCGCACCAGAGGGTGGGACAGCGCTGAGGAGCACCGATCTCAGCAAGGAGGAAGGTGAGCCAGCGAGCCTCCTGAGCGGCCATGGTGCAAGCATAGAGCTCAGCCTCGCAGGATGAGAGGGTGATGGAGGAGGAGCGAGTGGAGCGCCAGCTGATGAGGCCGCTGCCAAGGGTGAAGCCGTAGCCTTGAGAGGAGCGGCGATCCGGCTGGGAGTCAGCCCAGGAGGAGTCACTGAAGCCAGAGAGGAGGGGAGGAGAAGAGCCTCCGAGGGTGAGGACATAGTCCTTGGTACCACGGAGGTAGCGGAGTACCCACTTCGCTGCAGCCCAGTGCTCATCAGTGTGACGACCGGTACCGACGAAGCGAGCAAGAACGCTGATGGGAAAGGCAAGGTCGGGGCGGGTGCACATCATAGCGTACATCAGCGAACCGACGAGCTCAGCGTAAGGATGGTCAGAGGAGGAGGGAGCAGGAGGAGGGGCAAGCTGGTGGTCAGTCTGCAGGGGAGTGGTAACCGGCTTCGCCTGCGCCATGTCGAACCGCTGCAAGACTTGGTCGATGTAGAAGGACTGAGAGAGGGTAATGGTGCGTGATGCGCGGTCCCGGGTGATGGTCATGCCCAGATAGTGCTTGAGCTCACCCAGGTCCTTGCACTTGAGGCGAGCATGCAGGGCGTCCTTCAGTTGCTGCATGGCGGCAGCATCGTCAGCGAACAGGATCATGTCGTCGACATACACCAGGATGAAGAAGCGGGTGAGAGAGGAGCGAAGGAAAAGGCTGGCATCAGACTGAGAGGCATGGAACCCCAGGGACTGCAGAGTGGCGGCCAGCTTGTTGTGCCACTCGCGAGGAGCCTGCTTGAGGCCATAAACCGGGCGGCGCAGTTCCCAGACTATGTTGGGAGGGAAGGCTGCATGAAAGCCTGGAGGCCGCCGCAAGAGGACCCGCTCCTGGAGCTCGCCTTGCAGGAAGGCGTTGGAGACATCCATGGAGGCAATCTCCATGCCAATGCGAACAGCATAGTCGAGGATGGCACGGAGAGTTGGGAGCTTGGCAGTGGGAGAGAATGTCTCCCAGTAGTCGATGCCATGGGTCTGGGTGAAGCCCTTGGCACAATACCGGGCCTTGTAGACCGGCTCCTCACCCGGCAACTGCGTCACTCGGAACACCCACAGGCCTTCAACAATGATGTCATCAGGAGAGGGGACAATGTCAATGAATGAGGCATTGCGGATGAAGGCCTCGCATTCAGCAAAGATAGCCTGGATCCACTTGGCAGCATCGGGGCAGGTGATGGCCTCAAGGAAGTTGGACGGGGTGAATATGGTGGGAGCGGTAGCGATGCCAAGGATGAGGAGGCCAAGGAAGCCCGGGTAGAGAGGCGTGAGGGAAGGTGTTTGTTGCTGAACGCCAATGAGCTCCTCATGGGAGTCCTCGATGAAGGGGAGGGAGGGTGGGGGTGGCGTTGGCCAACCCCATGGATGGCCTATGAGTGGGCCATGAGAGCGAGTGTGGATGCATGGGAGGATGAACGGAGAGGTGGTGCAGCGATGCCGATGAGGTTGCTGCTGTGGTTGCTGCTGCTCCGGCTGCTGCTGCTGCTGCTGTTGCTGCTGCACCTCCTGCTGCGGCTGTTGTTGCTGCACTGCCTGTGGTTGCTGCTGCTGCTGCTGCTCCATCTGCTGCTGCTGCTGCATCTCCTCCTGCTGCTGATGCTGCTGCTGTTGCTGCTGCTGCTGCTGCTGCCGCTGCTGCTGCTGCTGCCGCTGCTGCTCCATCCGCTGCTGCTGCTGCTGCTGCTGCTGCTGTTGCTGCTGCTGCTGCTGCTGCTGCTGCTGCTGCTGCACCTGCTGCTGCTGCTGCTGCTGCTGCTGCTGCTGCTGCTGCTGCTGCTGCTGCTGCTGCTGCTGCTGCTGCACCTGCTGCTGCTGCTGCTGGTGCTGGTGCGATGAGGCAGAGTGAGCAGGGGAGTCTGGGACAGCTGGGTCGTAAATGTCACCTGAGGAAGGAGGAGGGGGAGGAGCAGGATTTGGAGGAAGGAGGGGAGCCTGGGGAAGGAGTGGGGGAATGACAGCATCAGCCCAGGTGAGGGGGCGGGAGAGAGGAGGAAGTGGGTCGGAAGGCGGAACAGAATGATAGAACGGGATGCTCTCATCGAACACCACGTCACGGCTCTGTAGGAGGCGGCCTGAGGACGTGTGAAGGAAGAGGTAACCAGGGACAGAGCGAGCGTGGCCCAGGTAGACACACTCAATGGCCTTGGAGGCAAGCTTTCCTGCCTGCCTAGAGCGGTCAGGTGGGGGGATGAGGACATATGCCTTGCAACCCTTGATACGGTAAAAGGCAGCATCTGGCTTGGTGGTAGCCCAGAGCTCTGTGGGAGTGACGGACTGGCGTTGAGGATGCGGGTAAAGATTACTGAGGAGAGCAGCATGGACAAGGGCATAGCCCCAAAGAGAAGGGGGCGTGGAGGCATGAGTGAGGAGGCAGCGGGCCGTCTTGGTGATCTCACGAATGCGACTCTCAGCAACACCGTTCTGCTGAGGGGAGTGGGGAAGGGTATGAGTCTGCTGGATGCCATGGGTTGAGCAGTAGGAGGAGAGGGTGCGGTTGAGAAACTCACCACCGCCGTCGGAATGGAGGCGGCGGATGGGGCGACCAAAGTGGACTCGGCACTGCTCGGCCCAGGTAACGATGACAGCAGGGGCCTCGGCCTTCGTGTGGAGGAGGAACACCGAGGAGTACCTGCTGTGGTCGTCGACTAGGACAAGCATGTACCGGTGCCCTTGGCGGGAAGGGGAAGGGTTAGGGCCCCAGAGGTCCATGTGGACGAGGTCAAGGGGGGCAGCAGCAAAGGAAGGATGACTGAGGTGAGGTTGTTGTTTGAGCTTTCCATGAATGCATGTGGCGCATGGGGGAGCGGAAGAGGACGGGAGGGGAGGAAGAGTGGGGGGAAGACCGTCAAGCAAGCGGGAGGAGACGGCTTTATGAAGTGTGGAAAAGTTCATATGACCAAGGCGATGGTGGATGAGAACAGCGGGGTGGGACAGTGCGCGACAAGAGCATGGGGGGGAGGTGGAGTTGGAGGAAGGTGGCTCTAGAGGGAGGGGAGGGGGTAGAGTGGAGGTGCCTGCACGAGTGGTCACGTGGCATGAGGAGGGGCGCGGTGTGCTGAGGATGTACTGACGAGAGCGAGGGCAAAGTGGGAGGGATGAAGGAGGCGACAAGTGGGGCCGTGGAGGAGGTCACAGTAGGTGGCAGAGGCGGGGAAGAGGGTAGTGATGCCAGCCTGTTGGAGTTCACGGATGGAGAGCAGGTTATGAGGAAGGGAGGGAATGTGGAGACCAGTGACCACACCGGAGGGGAAGGGGGGGCAGGGGAGGGTGGAGAGATGAGTGCAAGGGATGGAGAAGCTGGAATCAGCGCCATGAACGTTGGTGGGGAAAGGGAGGGAGGTGAGGGTGCCGGCGTCTTTGAGGGCAGTTTCAGTGGCACCACTATCGAGAACAAAGTCTATCGTGGGCGAGGAGGGAGCTGAAGACATGGGGTACTGGAAATCACTGGCATTAAAAACAGAGGGATACATGGAAGTGGAAGCAGGGGAAGAACGCATGAGCTCGCCTAGAAAGCTGGAGTGGGAGGCGGGAGCACTAGGGGAAGGAGAGCCCCAAAGGGGAAAGCCAGGAGGACCTTTTGTGGCTGTGGCAGCCATGGTGGCGGTGCCAAAGCCAAGCTACTGCTGCTGCCATGCAGATGCTGCGGCTGCGGCTCCTGCAGCTGCGGCTGCAGCCTGACCACCAGAGCCCCACTGCTGCGGCAGCTGCAGCTGCTGGTGCAGCTGCAGCTGCTGGAAGCGGCGAAACTGCTGCAGCTCCTGGGGAGTTATGGGGTCAGCGATAGAGGAGGAGGAGGAGGCGAGCTGAAGATGAGAGGGGAGGAAAGACGGAAGAGTTTTGACATCCTGGAGAGAGGGGCGGGGATCCATGGCAGACCAGCGTGGGGGTGTGCCAGTGTTGCCGCGCTCGAACCAGGCGTCATCATATGCTTTGAAGCAGGTCGTTGGGGGATGGTTGGTTTGGGTGCAGCGCTCACCCGCCCTGGGACCAAAACGGCGAAGATAGGAACATGGGGGGAGAGTGCCAGGGCGGCCACCACGGCTACCAGATGAGCCACCACTTCCACCACCACCCCCACTGCTGCCACCCTCGACCCCGCAACCACCGCCGCCGGCTCCGTTGCCCCCACAACCGCCACCTCCACCCCCTCCCTGAGGGTTGGTGCGGCCGCCACGTGGGCGCCCTCCACGACGCGGTTGTGCAACTGCAAGCTGGGGGTTTGGGGACTCGGTGGAGTTCAAGCCGGAGGGGGGGGTTGAGAGAAGGCGGGCCTCAGCGTCAATGATCCACTGGACCACAGTGTCAAGGGAGGCACGGGGCTGAGCCTCAGTGAAGGCGATGACGCGCACTTCATACTGAGGGGAGAGGCCTTCGAGGAGACGGTAGATCTGGAGGTTGGAGGGGAGAGTAGTCTGGCGAGCCTCTAGGCGGGAGGCAAGGTCCAGGAGACAGCTGGTGTAGTCAACGGCGCCAGCACTATTTTCGATCGTGATGCTGAAGTATTCCTTGAAGAGCGGTCCGACAGCGTCGAAGTCGGTGCGTTCGAACATCGCCTTAAGCTCGAGCCAGATCTGGCGGGAGACGATGCGACGTGCCTGGAAGTTGCGCATGAGCGCAGGCGGGATGGCAAGGAGAAGGGCACAAGTAGCACGGCTGTCCGCCTCGAGCCAAGCGCGACGACGCTCGGCAAATCGCGCAGAGTCAGCGGCATAAGCGGCGGCGGTAGCGGCATGCTGGTTGCGGAGGGTGGCCGACCGCTCGTGTTCCTCCAAAGCGATCAGGTAATCAGTATGGAGCACGAGGAACTCACGACGCTGAGTAACGAAGAGCTGCTCAACCTCAGCGGTGGCAGCGCGAGTGCTGGTGCCAACGGGTACCACGGGGGGCAGAGGTTCCTTGCCGGGATGGGGAATGAGAGGGGGGTGATCGCCAGGGTGAGGCGGCGGGTCCCCAAGGTCACCCTCTGGGAGACCAAGCATGATGTACAGGAGGCGGAACGGCAGGACATATGCACTGCCGAGGACGCGGTGGAGGCTGCCGACGAAGGAATACCAGTTGGTTGCTGAGTTGTCGGCAGCGCGCACCAAATGATCGAGGGTCGAAACGTCGACAGGATGGGGAAAGGATGCCATTGGTGACACGGAGTGGGAGGAAGGCGATGGCGGGTGGACCCGCGGTGGCTGGGAGGGAGCGGCGGCGGGTGGACCCGCGGCGGCTCAAAGAGGAGGGGAGGATGGGGATGACTGTAGCTACTGCTGCTGCTCCCACTGCTGCTGCTGCTGCTGCTGCTGCCGCTGCTGCTGCTGCTGCCGCCGCCGCTGCTGCTGCTGCTGCTACTGCTGCTGCTGCTGCTCCTTCTCTGCTGCTGCTGCTGCTGCTGCTGCTGCTGTTGCTGCTGCTGCTGCTGCTGCTGCTGCTGCTGCTGCTGCTGCTGCTGCTGCTGCTGCTGATGCTGATGCTGCTGCTGCTGCGTCTGCTGCTCCTTCTGGTGCTGCTGCTATTAGCTGATGGCAGTTAGCTGATGGGGAAAGATGGCAGTTAGCTGATGAAAGTAGGACTTGGTGGAAATTTCAGTAGCACTTCGTGATCACATCCAGGACAGTGCGCAAACTTCGGAAAGCGATATCCGACAATCCAAGCGGTGAATTAGTCTGCAATTTTAGGACGTAGTAGCTGACACCAAGAGCGTTCTTTTGCAAGTCGAATCACTCCATTCTGTCAACTAGCGAGAGAGCTATGGCGTTTGGCGCACTGGGGATGTTTGAAAATCCACCCAACAGAAAACTAGTTGTGAAGGGAAAGAGAGGCGGCGGCTAGGAGTCTAGCAGCGGCGATGGAGGAGACGGCAAAGAGATGCACGTCGGAAGGGGATGGGGCGGAAGCGTGGGGAAGGATCAGGATTGAAAGTTGGCGTGAGCCATTATTGCTCTATACCATGTTAGAAACAGAAATGTTGAGTTTATTGATCAAGCAAAGGCATTACATAGGAAGAGAGAGATGAGCTAGGAAGGGAAGGTTGGAAGTGAAGGGGGGGTTAGGACCAATCACAAGGGAGGGAGGATCCTTCCAAATGTGGTTGACCACAAGTGGGAGGTGGTCCAAGTATGGTGGACCACAAGTGGCTTAGGCAACCCACTTGTGGTGCCCCCATAATTGTGGTCCTTGTGTTTGGGGGCTCCAACCACAATTGGGTTGGATTGACACCCCAACACAGGTGTACACCCAACTAGGGATGTAAACACAATATACACAACTAGCATAGCATGGTATATTCTAACATTTGTCACTTTACTGTAGCAGCTGCAAATTGGTTGGGAACAACCAAGCTAGGTTGACAAGTGTGGCCAACTTGGTTGGATTGGTTGGGAAGGGACAAAGGTCAAAGTAGGGGTTCCTATAGGGAGGGAACTTTGTGCTTATGGGTTTCCTTGGTCGGGGTCCATCTTGGGACCTTCCCTTTCATCCCTCTCTTCCCTTCCAACCTCTTTCTTGCTCCTCTAATTCCTTGTGAGATTCTTGGACCTTGCTTGAACTTAGAGACTGAGTTAAGTTCTTCTTTTACAGCATACCCCCTGTGCGTCGAAAGGCATAGCATCGGGAATACTCAACCAATCGATGTGATTCAAATTGGAAACGATAGCCGAGGTCAAGAGCTACCACATATCCGAGTTTCGTTGGCGACGTTTCTTGTGGACATGACTTTTCTGTCCAGAATTTCGGATTTATATTTTGAGTAATTCTAGCTCCTAAGTTCATCAAGACTCCGTCCTTAATCCTAACATGTGGTATGAGAGCGATATTAACAACATTGAGAGGAGTCTACACAAGTGTGAAGACCCTTCTAGACCCACCATTCCTTGTGGGTGTGGCTAAGTGGTGTTCTAAAGGTTGGATGTGCCTCCCGCAAAGGGGAAACTCTGCCGAAATTTCGTGGACGCCGGCACTTGTGAAAATATCGAGGGAGCTGAGTGTGGACAGGACGGGGGAGCTGAAATTTGACATTTTCCAAGGAGAAGATGAATGAGAGAGGAGGTGATGCTGCTGCAAGAGGAGCTATACATGAGAAGACTAGTGAACCGCCACCATCCAAGGTTGAAGCTTTGGATGGCTCCAACTATGAGGAGTGGAGTGGGCGGATGAGGAGTGCCTCCAAACGCTACAAGCTACTGAAGATTGCTGGTGGGGAGGAGAAGATGCCCGTGAACGGTGGATTGAGAAGAGTGCGGTGCTGTTCAACATCATCCTTCAATCAACAAACAAGGAGATGTTTGAGCACATCAAGGACCTTGTGGAGGCGGATGATTCGGGACCTAAGGCATGGAAGCTGCTACACGATAGGATTCAGACGAACACACTTCCAATGAACGGCAGCCATCATCACGTATTGCTGTGGCTGCATGCTCTTGAACGGGCGCCCAGATTGTCGCTTGACGAACGGCAGCCAGTCATTGCGTATTATTGAGGCAGCATGATCTTTCTGCTTCAACGCGTATGCCCACATCAGCCGACTCCAGTCATCAACTATTGTGAGGAAGTACCCTTCCCCATACTTCCTCGAACTAGAAAAGGTCCTACCAGGTCCATGTGTACCAGTTCCAGTGCTTTCTTGCTCTTCCCAGTCACGCCATGAAAGGGGAACCGTGTGAACTTGCTCAGCAGACACGTCTCGCACTTGGTATCATGTGGTTGCCCAGAAAGCTTCAGCCCCTTCATTGCATCTTCCTTATGTAGTTGCTGCAGCAATGCCATAGCCACATGCCCTAGACACCTGTGTGCGGTTTCCCCATCAGTCTCCCCGACCTTGCAAAAATCGTCACCGTTGCTACACTGACTGCATTGCACTCCCCATGGACTCTACATCCCGCATTTACTGCTCTCATCTCCTTCTTTGTTGATTCCCATATTTGCGCAGGGATATGCCACATGGATCTGAAGACATCTCTGCTTTCATGTTGATCCCATAACGCAGGATCTCCTCGCAACCCCTTTAATGTCTTGGATCCATTGGTGGTTGTGCTGACTTCGGCCTGACCTAGCTTGTG